AAGGTTTAACATTTATTTTCTCAGAGGACCCTCCTGAAAACCACCTTATGGTGATTGGAGGCCTCCTCTTAAAATATTATGTATTATTATTATTATTATCATTATTATTTATTATTAAAGTAGCGTCCCAGGAGAGCTGTTAATGACGTTAATGAGAGGTTTACACTGTGATTGGGCCGCATTGGTGATATTTTAAACAAAAATAGCTCTTTGTTGTTTCATCCTAATATACTTTACCATTAATACTTTTCCCGGGGTTCAAAATGTGAACGAACTAAACTGACATGAAGGAGAGAATTTCTGTAGCGACCTATAGTGGCAGCGAATCAGTTTTGCTGAACGGCCTGACTATAAAATCAGGATAAGAAATAAAACGTCGGGGCCCTTTTACCGAGTATATGCTTGTATACCACTTGAAGGCGCACTTACAGAAAATCAAGGGTAATTTCGGGCAGTATACCTTCGCTTTTGCATTCGCTTCCTTGCTTGCTCCCCTTTTCTTCGATTCGGCCAGTCATTTCGTTATTATAAACCAAACCTAATTCTCGACACTTAGCTCTTAATCAACTTGGCGTCAAAAAAGGTTAACAAACGGCTACCCTGCGCACAGGCTCTTCGCTGGGAAAGAAAGAAGGAAACGAAAAGTATTTTGCTTCCAAAACGTGGACGAACAGCCAGAATTCTAAGCGGGGCGGGCAGGTCGTTTTCCCTTTCCTCTCCTTCCGCGAAGAGCCTGCTCGCAGGCTAATAACTCGCCTTAGCGAGCTGAATTTGTCAGGCTGACATTAGGTTAACGCTCGAAACGTCGGCTTCAAAAATACTCTTTGGCGGTTAATTCACCTTTATCAACTTCAAGGTGATGAGTAGCTAAATGTTTTACTCGCCCACCGATGTAGCCCAACAATTTCTTTAGAAACTAACATCTTTGTCCATTCATAACTCTTGAAATACAAGGAGTTTTACTTACACATCTGACATGGAGTCTGTTGGGGCTTCAACGTCGACTCTCTGATTGTTGTTATCAGCTTTGCCGTAGACACTGTCGTAGTCCAGTTCTTCTGAAATGTTTTCAAGGTCTATAATCTCGGTCATTGCGAAATAGTCCACAAATCAGCAGCTATTGAACTTGATTTCGTTTCACTTGGAAGCGCCGTTTAACTGCTTGTCAGCGAGAATATAAGGCGAGACTGAAGAAGAATATACGGAAGAGTAAAACTAAACATCTGTTGACTTGCCGCGTATCAATGTTAACCAAAGGTTTTCTAAATCAAAATGCATCCTTTCTTGAACAAGAGACTAATGAACCTCTCGTGGCATGTGCTATTGTTGCAAGGAAAACAACGGCCAGTCTAAAACTGATCTTTTGTTCGGAGTTTTGTCAGATATGCATAGTGATTGTGACGACATTGAGTTTATCAGCTGAGTTTACCATTGCATTGTACGAATATTCCACGCCTAATTTTTCCTCACAGTGCCAATGCAATGCTAAACAGAAAGGTGACGAGAATAACGAAAACCATCACATTGGAGATCCAGTCTTGCCAGACAATTATGACAATCAGTAAGATGAATTAACATTGAGTATAGGCTTTATTTTTTTACGGCCTTATGCGCCTACTGGCGCCTCGAGAACTGTTGATCATGAAAGGCTTTCTTGATTGATTCGGTGACTCCTATGGGACTTCCCAATGCCGCCTGAATTCATTTTTCGCAAATATGATTTCAGTTTACTCGTACTAATCGTGGTTTTGTTTTGAAAAGATTTCCGTATTTCCGTTTCACATCTACACGCAGAATAAACTTTATCAAATCCAGCCTCAAAATACGTGTGGCTTGTCCACTGCGAAACTGTTCAAGCTGGATGCGACGATACGTCCGACGAAAGCGAGCGAGAGCTGTCTACACCTTGCGATGGTCCACAAACAAAACACAAAACACAACAAGGACAAAAGAACATCATTGCGCAGCGATAGAACGGTTTTCAATTGAGTGTCGTGAAAGCAAAACCAAAGAAGTCACTCTAGCCAGTCACAATTGACACAGACAATCCAGTGAACAATCAAAATTCAAAGCAAATGCATGTGGCCGACGCGAAGAGCGGGAAAACGTGTGCAAGAGAGTCGCGATTGGTTGATTCCGGACTACTGAAGGTGGCGCGAGTTTTTTATATTTGTTGGCCAATCGCTTGACCAGTATCCTGCGAGCAGGCTCCTCGCGGAGAAAGAAAGAACGAGACAAACTTCTTTCTTCCCCCATTAAAAGCCTGCTCCCGAGCTAATCGCTTAGCGCAGTTATGCAAAACCAAAGCACACTAGTGTAAAAGAACTTAGAGAGAATAATCACCTTTGTTAGAACATATAAGGTTTGAAATCAACACACACTTTGTATCTTTTGCATCGAAGCAATGTTAACTCAATCTGTTTCGCAGGTTCTAATAGTCCACGCATTAATTATCCAAAGTTGTAAAATAGAGGTTTTTCAACTTTTCTTTCGTTGGACTAGTTGTGAAATCTTAGGTGTTTGTTAAGGCCTTTAGAAAATGCAGTGAATTTAACCAATTGATGTAAATTTTCCAGAAAGTAAAAAAGGGGTGCGTTAAATAAGTAACAGAAGACGAGTTTAGGGGTCGAACTGTAAAATCTGATTAAACGAAAAGCTTTTCAGCCCAGAAAGAATAACTTCGTCAACAGACAACATATTCCAGAGGGTCGTTACCAAAGAATTTACCACGATTACTAAATTTTGCCAAAATGCGCAATTCGCTCTCTCAAAGAATTAATAACCAACTGTATAGTGGCAGAATGGATCTAACTGCCACCTCATTGGTGGGGTATCTTGGCAGGAAAACTAAAAACCCGGCTTTGTGCTTTCTCTGCTAAAAGAACTAAGTCATAATACAGTAACTACCCACCTATTAGAAACTAAATTTTCCCATGTTAACCTTAGAGTTCATTACATTTGATGATATCTACTGTCTAGGCTATTTAGCTTCAAGTACCGCAAGCGTGGCTACGCCGTCGAATTCATTCGCAGAAACGAGAGATTACCCTTATTTGCTTATGTCCGAGGCAGTAGTTCTGCAGATCATTCAGAATTTTAGCTTGTTATATAACTTGTACTGGTAACGAGCCCTGCTCCCCTACAGGAGCTTTCCCTCTAGAGTAACGATCAAATTTAATATTGCAGAAAGATGACAAATTCCCATTGTAAAGACACTCTGATAGTGTGTGATAGACGCAAGCTTTGACCGAAAGCCCACCTTTATAGCTTTGGATTTTGTTTGTCCCGGTTCTATAAAACACGGCGCAGCTCATGTTTCAGCTCCTTGATCTTTTGAAATAAGGGACATCCCGAAAGCCTGATGACAGGAGAGGGCTACTGATTGGAGCGAAATTAATGTTACAAATGAAAGGATTTCGGCTCGGTTGTGGAGATGAAATACAAAGTCGCGCAAGTGAATTTGTAATCTAGAGAGTTACCTATGTAATTCATTCTGGGAAGATAAACAGTTCTTCACTTGCAAAATCACATATTTTAAAACCTTATTGGTTATCTTCATACCTTTTCAAGCCCAAACCATAAGAATGTGTCACTGGACCGCAAGCTGCTCTATCATGATCAGTGCCGATATCGTATTTGGTTTTGGTCGTGCGCATGAGAAATTTTTCGCGACACTGATTTAATTAAACTAGCGTAAGATTTTTCATTATAAATTGAATAGTTTACCTAATAGGATTTACAAATTCATTTTCTAATAGGTAAGCGACGTGTTGAACCGGGAAACTTAATTCAATCTTTGGCAGAGTTTTGAAGAAACAAACAAAGCAAAAGCTGGGTCATCCCGAGACATGGAAAAAAAAATAGAGCGAATCGAAAGCGGAACAACTAACACTACAAGTAATTATTGCGAACGTACGTTTCAAGGGCGCAAAATACGTCTGTTTACCTTACTATGTCAATGAACGTAAGCCTTGATTGTTTAATTTTCTCGGCAAAGAAATACATGTTAAAGGGACCGAAAAAGATTTTTAATGATATGGATTATTCCTTGATTTACCAACACTATGCTTGTACGGTAGCAAGTCGAACGCCTGCAACATTGCTTTATAAAAGGCAGTTTGTGTAGGGGTGATAACAGGGTTAAATTGATTTGAATATTGCGAGAGAACAATGCAAACAAACGGAGACGTGTGGGTTGTAAGCAATAAAACACACTTTTGAAGAATATGTGCTGTCACCTGATTTTCGGAGCCGGCTTGCGGTAAAAGTGTAAAGTAGACCTAAACCTATTCTTAGCTCTGTAACAACCTTCACTTTTTCTCCAATCTAAAGCTGTATCCTAATTTCGTGCCTCTAAACGGACGTTCAACAAGTCCAGCTGCTCATTTCAAAACTTCTAAGCAAATTAAAAAGAAAGAATTTTCGTCTAACAGGGTGAAAGTGATTGTATGTCGTAACAACTGCAAGTCGCGTACGAAAAGTTACAAATTGCATTCCTCAGCGCAGGAAGTGTGTCTAATCAAACTGATTAGCCTTGACAAGGGAGGAAGTGGCGGGCACTTCAAAAACCAGAAATTACTATTTTCTGTCAACTTGAAAAACGACCACGCAACTAGATCATATTGTTTCATGGATTGAAAATTCCAAAATTAAAGCTATGTCTTTCCAGAATCCTTTGTGTAATTGTTGCAGTATATTGATTTGCCTAAAATGCCGCAAGGCGAGACGCGAAGGGGTCAAATTTGTCAATCACTTGAATACTTGTGTAGCCAAAGTATTGTCCGCCACGCGTAAGTGAGACTTAATCAGGGGACTGAACAGAGCCTGAGAGCTCAACGTCCTATTTTGGAATTGGTCTTAATCCTAGTAGTGAATGCGGTAAAACTCGACTAAACTACACAGCAAAGCATGAATCAGATTCAGAGCAACCAAAGGATGTAATTATATCTTAACGCCTCACTCACCTGAGTTAACTGCAATGTCTAGCCAAGGTACGGGATTTCATAACGTTAGAGAAGCACCTATGCCAGACGTTTTCCAATCGTTCATCCAAAGAAATGAGCAGAGAGTGAAGACACTTCAAAATTTCATTAAAATAGCAGGAGCCCTTATACGTAGGTTTTGAAACGCTTTCAGAACGTGCAACTGATCGATTCGAATCTCGACTCTTCAAACAACGATTGTCTGCAAAGTTGAACAAACGTTTCCTTGTGCATCTGAATATTTTAGGGATTACTGCGAACTTCAGCATGCTAATTTGTTCTGGGTTTTGACTTATGCATTGATGTCTAAGTAAACGTCTCAAGGTTGCGTCATCTGTTCCTAAGAGACTTCTTTTGTTTGAAATCTCATGTCCCGGACACGTCAATCAACTTTTTTCTTTATCCTTTCTTGTTTGTTAATGTGCAACATATACAAAGTATGTACTTTCACAATCAAAATTTTCGCCTCTGGGTCAAGAAAGTTGTTTGATCATTACCAACCGTGCAAGAATGCCTACCAAAGCCGTTTTGGTACGCTTTTCTTACCAGTAAATGTGCGAAATGTAAATGTAACACGAGGAATTAATTACCGTATAGGTCAGTATTGATTCAAAAGAAACGATCAGCCAAGAGTAGTGGAAAAAAACTTCAGCGTGGTAAATCCCGAGAATACCGACATCACGGTCGAAAGGATCCGCACTAAAAAAGTGGCGTTCACAAACTTGCCTCTTAATAACAATTGAACTTGTCATATAGCTATAGCTGGTCACTGACTGCTCGTCTTTTGGGAAAGTTTTAAAAAATTCTGGACATTGGGTTAAGAGCCACCTTAAAGTTCTGAAAATATAAAGTAGCTCTGAACCCTATTTACAGAATTTTCTAAAACTTTGCCAAAAAATTTACTACGCCGTTTTTGAATTATAAGCCCCTAAAGCTGCAATTAAGGGTGTCTTTAGCAGGTCATACTGTTGCCATGGTAACCTATTACGTCACGAAAATGACAACATCGTGTTCACCAATGATTGAGCAGTTTTTTGATACCATGATTGTACCATCACGTGATAAAGAGTGGTTATAACGACCCATCATAATCTAACTGCTGGAAACTGTTTTGAACCACCTTAAACAAAGAGCGAACATCCTGGATTTGACTTTCGCTTTCTTCAAGTATCTCTTCCCTGCATATGGCGAGGAGTCGTTCCACATCATTGAGCTCGTCTAGTGCGCGAATAATTTTGTCAAGCAAGTCGTTGTATTCCTTCCTTTTTCTCTCGAATTGTTTAACTTTTCCAAAAAGGGGTCATTCTCTGACAGCCTTCAATAGCTCCTTTATAACATCCAGACGATCAGGTCCAAGATGATTCTTCTCTTCTAGTTCTGTGAACAACGACAGCACATTCTGGATGTTGTCTTCGTTACCCGGGGCAATCTTCCCTCTGCACATGAACAGTAAACGATCGCATACATTCAGCTCCTCAAGTCTCTCGCTTATTAGAAAAAGTAAGCTGTTATACTCGATGACAGACATTTTAAACTCAGTATACTAAGTCTCTTTCGCCAATTATCATGATCTCTGCACCAAGAAAGTTCTCCAAATCTCAGTACAACATGGCGGCTAATCTTGATGGGAACACTGATGTTACGAGTCACGCAAGTTGTTACTAAATTGTGGTAACACTATTTGCTGCCCGCATAGGGCAACCTCCTATTTCTGTCCTGGTATCTCGATTTCATGATCAGGTTATCTGTTTGTTAGCAGTTCCCAGGCCCCACTGCGTAGAAAGTCTGCGATTGGTGAATTTATGATGGACAGACTTGAATCTGCGACCTCGTGCTTTGACCGTTCGTTGAGTACATTCGTTGATGCGAGGGGAAGCGTTCGAAGAGATTGATTATTACCCAGGCAGTGAGGCCTGGGTTTAAATTTCGGCTCCGCTTTTTTTTTTCTTTCCTTCTTCAGTCACAAATCGCCATCTGGTCTCTAAGGCGCATGCGTCAGCTGTGCGTGCGTACAGCACGTGGAATTTACAGAAGCTGTCGACGCTAAAAGTTAGCACGGATTCCATGATTTCTAGGGCGATGAAATCACATACAAACGAACATACCGTTCGAGGTAGACCAACACTAAAGGGCGTTAAGCGTTTTCGGAACGGGTCGGTCTGCAAGCCTTATGAGAGATCAATTTACGAGCGAACATTTTGAGTGAATTTATCAAGAATCATGTTATACCAAAGGAGCTATCAGCCGGGGCTATCAACTCTTCAACTTGATAAAAAGCATCTTAGAAGAGTCATCGTATTTTTAGACGTGGTCGTGAACCAAGTGGAATCCCAGCACGAACTCAAGAACGTCTAAGCAACAAGAATGGAAAGGTTAGAGAATTTGTTTACGAATGTATCTGTTCGATTACACTTAGGTGAAATGTTCTGAGAAACTTCGTAAAGTATAATAAAGTTAAAATCTCGAACTAAACGATATTCTCTCGTTATTTTCTTGTAACAAAGTTATGTGCCTTTACAAGAATGAAACCCATGAAGCGAATTATTGTACATTTAAGCTGAAAGAAACTAATATATGTTGACCCCAGCAAAACAATTCTCGGCTTGTACTGTCACGCAATACTGATGCAATAATAAAATTATTCGAAAACCATTTAGTGGATAAAGTCAAGAAATTGTGATATTATAGGAGATTAATAAAGATAACACTCATCAAATTTTTAAGCCTGTGCGTTTTCCCAAACCTCAGATATTCGTCGAAATATTTTGCACAAATTTACAGAGCCAAGTATGGAGCCGCCATGTTGGTGTAACGCAAAAACAACAACAGCAACAACGACAAAGGCTAAGGAGAATAGACTAAAACGTTCATAGGCTGATCTAAAGACCTTGACTCATTTCACTCCCTAAAGACCTGCAAACTAGTAATATTTGTCTTTTGTCTTTCAATGTGTATCTGTCCGACCTTTTGCTAATATATCAAAGTGCAAGATAAAAGAGCCTCTGCTAATAAGGGAATTAAAACCCGCCCTTAATGATAATGTAAGCGGCGAAAAGCTTTATCTTTATTAGTTTGCATTG